TGTGTTGTTTATATTACATGTAAGTGATCCTGCATATATTCGCTTCCGCTGTATATACATGTTTTCCAACAAAACGGTGATAGTAAATAAATTTCTAATGTAGTACATATAGATAAAAACCTCTAATTTATTGGGAAAAAAGAGGTTCGGTTGAATCCCTTCATCTCAAAATTTTATGTATACTAATTTTGCGGTACGCGCATTGCGCGTGCACCCTATATTTCTTTTATGAACAAAGAATGACAACCAAATACTAGGCAAATACGTTAATAAGAAACAATAGGCCTAGAACATAGAAATTCCATAATCTATAAGTATAAATATTTTATTATTATATTTAAGGAAAAGATATTTAAATTCACCTCTGGGTGCAAATATCATCTGTTAACTATACATGCACTAATTCTGTTAAATAACTTAACACAATTCACCATCTCATCTGGAATGTAACAGCACATGTCTCCTTTTAGATCCTATCAGTAAGTGGAGAATTTATACAAGTGATATTTAGGAACCTTTTACTTGTGATATGATCAAATTTTGATATTTTGCATCAATTTACTCTGATTAACTGTGAAAATTTGTCTTTTATAAGCTTTTTGTTTAGGATATACTCTCAAATACACTGACTGATTATGCAGACACTTTTAGTTTATTGCATTCAAAATCTGAACCTAACTTCAGTCTAATTGCATTGAATCTACATATTTTAAAACTTCAACCTCATGCAGAATAATTCGAAGAAAATCTAACGTATACAATTTTACTACGTATTTATTTATCATAAACCAGAACATAACAAAAAGAAAACAAAATGAGAAAAATAAAGAAGAAGAAACAATGATTATCCGATAAATGAAATGAAGAGCATATATAGGGTGGAAAAGTCCTTTCTCACTTATCTTAATGAAAAACTGGTTTTTTTCCAACTAATTTTTAAATGGTAATTAAATAGTAATTAGCGCCACAAAAACTAGCTAGCCTACGCTATTTTTACAATTTTTTCATCCGAAAAGAGGATGTGATATTCTTGAAAGAAAATTATTGTTAAGTAATTTATGGAAGCAAAAATACTTGAAAGCATAGTTTATTACTTATGGAAATTATTTCTTGAATTTATTTTGTTTATTTCACTTTGAACAATTCTTAAGTTGTTAGTTCTATTCCATTAACGGGTGTATTTAGCATCCACAATTGGCCCTTTCCATTTCTTTTCTTTTTCTCGTTCTAAAAATATATATATTTTATTTTCAATAATTAATTGTAGGACCAATGCCTATAATTCTATCCATGCACCCAGTAAGCAACACGTCTGATTTCTTAGTGACTTTTATCCTCGTATATTTGTGAAAATGACCAATTATACTATTTAAAGCCGTCATTATTCTCGAATAATTCATTATTATAGGGAAAATAGAATTTAGGGCAGGGAAACTTTTATTTTATTTGATAAAAAGAATGAGAAAATAAAAAGAATGAGAACATATTTAAAGGGAAAAAAGGACCATGAACACATGAAAAGATTGATGCTTAAGCATGCATAATAAAATAAAATAAAATAAATGCGGACTATATTGAAGCACGCGCCAAACAATATTCGGTACCTATATTAAGGCTTGATTGAAATTAGATTCGTGCCGGAATATTTCACAAGGGTTAAAGTATTTTTTAACCCAGGCGACTTCATATATACTCAGGGCTCGAATATAAGATCTTTGATCAGCCAAACTCTCTGTAACAGCCTAGCCCGCTAGTAATATTGTCCGCTTTGGGCCTAGGCCCTCACGGGTTTAAAACGCGTCGCTTGTTAACTTATATACCCAGCATCCCTCTTGTGTTTTGCCGATGTGGGACTCTGTCTAAAGTCTCTCTTCACTATATACAATTCTAAAATTCTAGTTAATTGCTGGCTTTGATCCAATATGTATAATTTGAATATATTATTGACAAAATTTGGATATTTTTAGCTTTTGGTGTTAACCAATTGGCACCATTCTTTGTGAGTTTATAGAATTGTTTCCTGACTAGTGACTACTTGCCATAAATATTATCTTTTCTCAGATTGGAGATTAAAGTCCAACCAATTATTATGAAAGCTCCATATTCTTGAATTAGATAAACTGATTTTAAAATATTAAATTCCCTATTGCATGTTTGCAAACTAGTGCAGTATTACCTAAGTGATTATGGCATAGGTTAAAATTCTATTTTCTTATTTGTCCATTATTTCATTAAAAAAGAAGCAGAATTTTTTTTTATAACTCAATTCATATTCATACTAACTCGATTAATTCGGGTTCCATTGCAGCGGACAAGTTGCCGTTAGGGTAATTAGGGCAAATTATTTCGAAAAGTATAATGAAGGTTAAATATAAATTATTTTAAAGGTACAAAGATAAATTAGACTATTTTCCCTATTTAGAAACTAAAGGGATAATCTCACCTACCCATAAGTTGGGAAACAAAATTAACCTTTCAACATTTAAGAAAAGTAAAATATACTTGCTAAATTAAAGAGGAAGGTGGAAAAGAAATATACAACTTTTCAAAGAAACGTACAAGTTAACCAATCAAATCTTAATGATTATAAATATATAGTGGAAGCTGAGTCTCTGCCTAGGAGGATGCACAATATAGAACATGAGTGCTAAAAATTTAAAAAAATTACATTATACTTTATTAACTTGGTGGTCTATTTTATCTATCCAAACCTTAGTAGATTTAGTAACCCGGTATCTGTCGTACTAGTGGGAGATAGCAGATAACTCGTAAAATTAGTCGAGGTGCACGTAAGCTGACTCGAATACCACAATTATCAGTAAAATATTTGAAATTATATTAACTGCATAGACCATGAGATTAGGTTATTAACTTATTATTAGGGGCCACAATTAGCTATAGTTGACTTCAGACTTCATAGTAATATGAAGCAAATTTAATAATAAACTTAAAATAAGGAGAGAGTATGCAATAAATTTCTTGATTAGCCTCGTGTGTTTCCAAGATCTCCTTAAGAAACTAATTATTCTCTTTGTTTTCTCTTATCTCAATGATTAAAAGTAAATAAATAAAAATTATATTCATTATTTATCATGTTCATACTTCTTTTTTTCCTACTGGTTTTTGGTTCTATTGTGTAATAATATAATGTTTACTTGTTAATTCTCTCGTGTCCCAAAATATATGGCTTTGTTTATATGGGTAGAATATGTTAATTGTTAATGCCACTTAATTATGATCAAGGGAATCTTTAATGATAAATTTTACGAACTTATTCCATTCCTTTGACTAAGTTAGTTAAAAAGTTATATCACGTGATTAAGCATAAAATAGTAAAACAGAATTTTGAAATTCAAATAGCCAAATTCTTTTGGTCCTCTAGACATTAAAAAAATACCATTTTGATTTAATGAAAGTCAACATAATTTAAAGTTTATGAGTTTTATACTTGTCACCAAACTCACATCTCGTTAAAATAAAAAAAAATCAAAAAAATCACTTAATACTTACTCGTAGAGGCAGAAAAAAACTCACATCTCGTTTCCGCAATTGCGTAAGCTAATTAAATATTTATATATATTTTAGAGTAAAAGGTAAAATATATTAACTCATACATCCCCAAACTTTGATATTTAGAAATAAAAGTTATAGTCCCAATTAAACATTCTCTTAGAGCTAAGATTAACATTTAGTATGATATAAGAAAAGGAGAGGCCTATTAATTTCAATTTTCCACAAAATTAGTTTGTACTCCCTCAGTTCACTTTTATTTGTCAATTATTAACTTTGCACACTCCTTAAAAAATACTAATACATAAAGTACATAATTTACCACGGTACCCATATTAATTGATGTATAGTCTTAATGGATTTGGAATGAGTTATTAATGCTAAGGGCAAAACAGAAAAAATATTTTTTTTTTCTTGATATGTGAAAAGTGACAAGTAAAAATGAAAACTTATTTTTAGAATACTTTGATAACTAAAAATGAACGGAGTAAGCAGTATAATTTATTATGAACCAGCGAGAGGAAATGTATATTAAATTCATCTTTCCACAAATAGAAAAAGGAAAAAACAGATGGATACGTGTCGAAATATTGAAAGGCATGCAGAATCAAGAGATGCGACTATTACAAGGAGACAAAATTAACCTCTCCCCACTCTAAGACTTTTTGGCCAAGTCGGAAAAATCAGTATATTTTAAAAAGTATTTTTTTAAGTATTTTTTTTAAAAGTAATTTTGATGAAAAATAATTTGTATTTTATTAATTATTTAAAAAGTACTTTTAAGCAATAATTAATATTTGGCCAAACTTTTAAAAAGTGATTCTGAGTATATTTTTCTCAAAAGTACTTCTCAAAAAGAGTGCTTCCGGAAAGACGCTAATTTTTTCTACTTCTCCAAAACTGATTCTGCTTCTCTTCAGAAACACTTTTTTTCTCCTAAAAGCTTGGCCAAACACTTCAAATTTAAAAAAAAAAGAAGACTTTTTTGAAGTACTTTTGAACTTGAAGAAACTTGGCCAAACAAGCTATTAGCTTCTCTCCAAAATTACTTTTTTAAAAAATACTTTTGAGAAAATTACACTTAGAAGCAGTTTTAAAAAACTTCACCAAATGCTAATTGTTACTCTTAAGCGACTCTTACATACTCCATAGATTAGAGTCTTATCTATTTTTACTTTGTGATTATGCGTGCTTTGAGCCGAGGGTATATCGGAAACAAACTTTCCACCTACATAAGGCATGAGTAAGGTGGCGTACTCACTACCCTCCTCCTCGAATTACACTTGTGAGATTACATTGAATTTATTATTGTTATTGTTGTTGATTCTTTTTAAAAGAATAGATAATTATGTGGTAATTGACCCATTTTAGATTGTAAAAGTAAAAATCAGATTACTTATCCAAGAAAATAAAAAGGAAAAAGGAGTAATTGGAGTCCTAGCTTTTTCCCCCTCTGCCCTATCGATAAATACTCCCACTCCCTTCATTTCTCTTCCTCACCCAATTTCCAAACAACAAATTCCTCTTCGTTGCTTTGTTTTGCTACTTTCACAGTCATTTTTCACTTGCATAGCAAAAAAAGGAAACAGAAAAAGAAAAAAAGAAGTAAGAAAGCTCTGCTCTCTAATCTTCAATCAGAAATGTAAGAATTCTTTTTCAAACATATCCATGTCTATTCCTTTTTTTTTTAATGTCTAAGATAATTGAGGAGATTTTATATTAATTTGAGTAATATGAAATTGAGATTGATAAAGTTCTTGAATTTTATTGCAGAAAAGATTGATGTTGTAATGGAAACCAAAGGTGGTAAGAAGAATTCTTCTTCTTCTAATAATAATAATAGCCATATCCAATACGAAGCTCCTCTTGGTTATATTATTGAAGACGTTCGTCCCAACGGTGGGATCGAAAAATTCCGTTCTGCTGCTTACTCTAACGTAAGTTTATTTTCCATATTTATAGAATTTATGGTAAAAATTTACTCGCATCCGTTGTTTATACCAACTATTAATACACATAACATATATCTTCACACACACTTTTATCACTATAACTCTGAGTACGTGTTGGATCTTCCAAAAATATTGCATTTTTTGAGGATCCAACACGGGCGTACAATATTCTGGAGAGTTCGTGCAACATATACTATACCATAGTTAGTTAATATTTTTACTACGGCGCATTAATATGTTTACATAAATCAAATGAATACATGACATGTGTTTTCGCATACACAACTAACACTAGACCATAATTAGTATAGTTGGTGTAAATATGGATGCGATAAATTCTTATCTAGAATCTACATCATTTTCTGTTTTCTAATTTTTTTTTTGTTTTTGTTTTTTTGTGTGTGCAGTGCGTGAGGAAGCCATCCTGATAATCCCTTTATTCAATTATTTTCGCCAATAATCCGTAACTTTTTAAAATAATTCTCATTTTTAAAAATTCTGTTTTTCATCTTTTACTACTAAAATGGCTGGTGCTACTACTGTTTCTGTTATTGGTTTCGAAGGCTATGAAAAGCGCCTAGAGATCACATTTACCGAGCCACCTATGTTCACTGACCCAAACGGGCTCGGTCTCCGAGCCCTGACTCGGTCACAACTCGACTCAATCCTCGAACCCGCTTGTTGCACCATCGTGTCACACCTCTCCAACACTGAGTTTGATTCCTACGTACTCTCTGAGTCGAGTTTATTTATTTACCCTTTAAAAGTCATTTTAAAAACTTGTGGGACCACAAAATTGCTTTTGTCAATTCCTCGGATTTTAAAACTCGCCGAGAAATTTTCCCTCGGCGTTGACTCGGTCAAGTACTCACGTGGGACCTTCATTTTTCAAAATTACCAACTTACCCCTCACCGTAGTTTTTCCGAAGAAGTGGCATTTTTGAATTTGTTTTTCAAAAACGGCCATGCTTATGTACTCGGCGATCTGAGCTCGCTAAGTCGGAACTGGCATGTGTACGTGGCAAATGTGGGCGCACGTAAGTTGACCAATCGGACGGATGAGATTACTGTGGAGATGTGCATGATGGGTTTAAAAAGAGAGAAAACGGCCGTCTTTTTCAAAAAATCGGGAGAGGATTTTTATGAAATGACCAAAATGTCCGGGATAAGTGAAATAATTCCGAGCCATGAGATTTGTGATTTTGAGTTTGAGCCTTGTGGATATTCTATGAATGGGATTGATGGTGCAGCGTACTCTACGGTGCACGTGACACCAGAGGATGGGTTCAGTTATGCCAGCTATGAAGCCATGGGGTTAGACCTCGGGTCCATTGGGCTTGAGCCGTTGATCAAGAGGGTGCTGACGTGTTTCGAGCCAGCTGAGTTCAGCGTGGCCGTCACGTGCCATGGTGGGTCCCAATTGGATATTTTTGCTGACGTGGATGGATACTCGTGTGACAATTGTGTCAAGCAAGATTTGCCAGGTGGCGAGTATATAGTCTATCGGTGTTTCACCATGGCGGCGGAGGGAGGATGCGCGGTCCACGCGGCCGCCAACTCCGATTCCAAGACAGCGGACCACTCCGATTCGATGATGGTGGCGCATTGCTGGAAGGAATTGGTGAAGGCGGAGGCGGTTAGGGTCTAATGATTGGCATGTTGTTATAGCAGCAGTTTGTTAATATTTTCATTTTAGTTTAATTAGGTCCTTGTGTTTTGGAGTAAATGGACTTGTAGTCCTACTCAATCAAGTGCAGTCCAATCCAGTCCAGTCTTCTCTTTGTAGTAATTGTTTGTCTGTGCCTTGATATGAGGCTACTCAAATAGTGGAGTATTTGTTACTGCAAAAACTATGCCTGTTCTCATGAATTAAAATTTGTAAACTTTTAAAACGCAATTGTTAGAAGGAGAGCCTTGAAGCAACAACAATGCGTATTAAGGTAGATTATCTATATCACACCCTTGGAGTGCGACCATTTAACGAACCCTACGTGAATGCAGGATGTCTTGTGAACCGAACCGCCCTTTAAAACACAACTACTACCCAAAACACGCCTATTTTTAGAAACTGATAAAACGATATTTATATTCAAAAATAAGATACCTTCATCAACAAAGATGTTTAAAATTCTTGAACGAAAGGAGATAAATAATCCAGGCGATTCAAAGCGACTAACTGGAAAAAATGATATACAAGGTTTACAGTGAATGTTATATATAATACTGCTGGAGCGAAATTTAATAGTAGAATAATGTAATACCCATTGAAGAATGAAGATTAGAATTAAGACAAAAAATGATTCTCAGCGGACAAAGGTTATTCCCTCCACCTGTGGATAATTAAGTTGTAATTATATATTGGGAAAATGATACCGTATGGCCGCTCTAAAAATAATAGCGAAAAAATGTATATTTTTTGTATATATATATATATATTATATGTTATATGCAAATTTTATACACCTTTTCGGCTACCGAATGTAAATAGTTTATGTGACATGCTAAAAGTGATAATACCCCTTATATTTTTTAATTGTATAATAATATTCACCATTAATATTATTTCGATTTGTAATGTCCATAACAAGGAGTTTGTAATTCATTGCTTCCCTCAAGAAAAAAGAAAAGAAAAGAAAAGAAAAGCTAAAAGAGGTCCAAAATTATAGGCTTTGAATAATAATAATTTCTCTTAATCGTGTCATTCAATTATTTCATTGATGGAAAATCAAAAGTGACAAGAATAAGGTAAAATTGGACCAAATATATTGCTCTTTTTGCTTTAATAATTGGGATATATAGTTGACAATCTACGAACCTGAGTATACGTGCACTTTCCTTCCAATATTTTTCTTTTTATTGGAAAGCAATTATAGGTATAAGCATATACTATGAGGATAAAATACAATAGCAAGTAGAGCGGTCAATATGGGTCGGGCCAGGTTAGCCCGGCCCACGTGAGTTTTAGCATTTGAAATATTGGGTTGGGCTAGCCCATCATTTTGATGGGTCTTATAATAGTCGGTCCACCCCATCCTCTGTGGGTTGCGGACTCCCACAGGCCGGCTCATCATTTTTTAAAATATAATTTTATATTTTTTCTTTAAACTCTAACCTAAAAAAAAAGATAAATATTTAAAAGTTAAAAAATATTTTATTGAAAAAATTTCGCAAAACTTAATAACTTTTTATATTGTTCCAACATATCACAATAAACACTAAAACGTAAAAGACAAGGCTACAGTTCATTCACTAATAGTCAAAACTCAAAATAAACTATTCAAGCGAACGTCCATGACGCTTATGGGATATCCAATACTTCATCTTCATCAAATACATTTGAATCCGCTTGTGACAAGGTTGTTTTAACATGTTCACTTTTATCTACATCTACAATTCATATGCAATATTAATTAGTTAAATATTAAGAATAATTAAATTTTAAAAACTAATAATATTTAAATTCACATTAAAAAATCACCACTTTGAGTTTGGGAAAAGCCGTGCAGGCAAATTCGAGTAGTAACAAGTGTTTGGACATTTATACGATGGATGCAACTGCTGTACGTTGTAAGAACACGCCCACCAATACCAAATGTTGATTTTGATGCTATAATGGTATTAGGAATACTAAGATCATGTGCCATCACTAAAAGATAGGGATATTTTCTAGAATGGTCCTTCAAATACATGACAACATCCATCTCTTGGAACTTCTCAAGATCAAACTTTAGTTCCTCTAAGTAAAGATCTAATTATGACTTTTCATCGCTAGAGGCAATATACTTTTTATATTTTATATATTTTAAATAATTATTTTTATTAGGCCCACGGGCCGGCCCAGACCAGCTTCAGTCAAGCCTCGCGGATCACGGGCTAACTCGGACCGGGCTTAAAAGCCTCGTTTTAAAATGGGCTCCAAAACTCTAGCCCCAATCCTGCCAAATCATGGGATGGGCTAACGGGCCAAGCTCATATTGAGTGCTCCGGAACAAGTACTAAAATTACTAGTTTATAATCATGTTCTAAATGACAAGATAAATTGAAACGGAAAACAGGAAAAAGATACTACTTTGGTTTTTAAGATACTTCTAAAGCCCAAAATAAATTGTTTTGCTTCAATATGGAGTACTATTATAATGATATAAGATTTGTTATATAATACAGAAGACTTAATTTAAATAATCGCTCACCTAACCATTTAAATTAAAATTAATTAATGAATATATATATATATATATATACTACATAATTTATTTATGTCGGCTAGAAAAAATATTTGCGCANGGGGCAGAACAAAAATTTGACTCCTAAATAAGAGGTTCTTTTTTCCTTAATTTAGTAGCTCACTTCTTTGTTAGGTTGCTTATTCAAGTTTCTTGATGATGTACCTTTTGCAAATGGATATATGTTACTCAATCGGTAGTCAATTGTGATATATTCAACATCTTTTTATCACTTCCCTCTTCGATCAATCGGGAAGGCATTTCCTTTCGTAAAATGTTTCATAAATATTTTCATAACATTAATTTTTCTTAAGTAACATTAATATTTTACACAATACAAACTAGGAAAAATACTACTTTCATACCTCAACATGCATCTTATTTTCTTTTTGCAACACATCTCTACTAAAGTAGAAGGGAAATGATAAACCATCCACGGAGTTTGGGGCGGAGCTAATGTACATGTTACGAGTTTGCACTACTAGAAATTCGGTAAAAATCGACCAAGGTCGACCGACCAATTTTGATCGGTCAAAAAATCGATCAAAAAATCGATCAAAGTTGGTCGGTTTTTCAAAATATTTTATTTTTTAATTTTTTTTTTACGAAACCGACCAACTTTGGTCGGTTTTCCTTGGTGCAAAAATGCGGAAAACTATTTTTGAGTCCCGCGAAATTTATTTTTCAAGAAACCGACCAACTTTGGTCGGTTTTTCAATTAAAATAAATAAAAATTAATATTAAAAAAACCGACAAAAATTGGTCGGTTAATTCGGCCGGCCATTTTAAAAAACCAACCAAAGTTTATTTTTTAATAAAACTGACCAACTTTGGTCGGTTATTTTCGTGCAAAAATATAATTAAAGAGTATAAATTAAATAAAAGACAGTCTTAAATCAAAATGCACCAATGGTCTAGTGGTAGAATAGTATCTTACCACAGTACAGACCCCGATTCGATTCCCAGATGGTGAATCTTTTGATTACATAATTAAAAAACCGACCAACTTTGGTCGATTTTTTTTGCAATATTTGTTTTTTGAATTTAATTGATCGACCAACGTTGGTCGGTAATTTCCGACCAACTTTGGTCGGTAAGCCTTTCCGACCGTCAAAATACCGTCCACACATAAATTATCGCATTTTGGTCGGTAATTGGCCATAACCGACCAACTTTGGTCTTTTTTTGGTCGGTGTTTAGCGGATTTCTAGTAGTGTTGCCCAAACCTAGTAATTTGGTTCAAACATTATATTTATCTTAAAAAAGACGTTGAAATGTATAAATTCTTAATTTAAAATCCAATAACTTAAACGAATTAGAATTCTAAATCTAGTAACTTGAAATACTAGCTCCACCTATGCACAAAGTGTACTGATATAATGAATGAGATTCCTCCATTTAATAGTAGTGTAAACGGTAAAAAGGGGTTCAATTGAATCCCTTCATCCGAGAATTATATTGTGATAAACATAATTCTTTATATAATAAATTATTGAATCCCTTTAATATAGGAATAGTAAATATGCATTATTTAAATTTAATTGTTAGGATTCTTAACTACTCTGATTGTCTCAATTCTTAATTAAAGGTCTTGACTTCAGGCCTAAAAGTTAATCGTACTGAAAATATTAGATGCATATAGAGAAAAAAAGAGAAAAAAGAAAGGAAAAATTATATAATATAGTGGTTTTAAAGATAATAATCGATAAAATAATTATTTATATATTTAACTAGCGAATATAATTATTTTTTGACCGGCAATATATGTAACTTGAGCTAGAGGATAGCACGTACATCCTCATTTGGCCCCACATAGATTTCCTCCGTGACATCAACTAACTAAACCGTGTTTTGAAAAATTCCATTTTCCAAAAAAAAAAAAGGAAAATAAAATTCCCTTTTCCTTAATCTTTACAAATCTCAGCCGCCGTATCTCCGTTAATCATTCTCCTCTTTCGCCGCCGTCACTGCCGCCGTCTTCTCCCCCTTTTCCCCATTCATAACATTTTCATGCCTTTTTACGAGCAATAATAATATTCTTTTTTTATTGCGGAAAATGATGAGAGTAATTATCTTTGAATATATCCAAATTACATTTCAAAGCTCCGATTTTCGCGGGAAAAACCGCCTCTTAAACAAATTCAGATAAATCCACAATTTTCTCCTTAGGAAGAATTACAGTGATTTTTTTTTTTTAATAATAATCTCAAAAGCAAAAAAAAAAATGCATTCTCTTTGTTGTAACACCGACGTTGCTGATCAGAACACGCCGGCAGCAATGCCGGCGACTATATCCTCTTCCTCAAATAATATACCACTAGCTAAATTCCTCAACATGCAACAGCCGCGGTCACCTCCTTCCCATACTTCCAAATCACGCGCCGCCGTCAATAACGGCGAAACCGAATTCTCCAGCGATCAACTCCGCCCGTCCAGCACGACGTCGTCGGAATTTCATTCGGCGAGGATGAATGATATTAATGTAGGCAATGGCATTTCGGGAATTTTATATAAATGGGTGAATTACGGAAGAGGATGGAGGCCGCGGTGGTTTGTTTTACACGACGGCGTTCTTTCGTATTACAAAATTCATGGGCGGCATAAGATTGTGACGAATTTAGAAACGGAGAAAGGATCGATGATCGTTGGGCAAAAATCGTTTCGGAGG